GGGGAGGGAGGTGGAGGGAGGCGGGGGCGATTACTGCGCTTCTTCTTGTTCTCTCATTATCAACACAATTGTTATGATTATTCCTCTCCCTCCTTGCCAAAGATGTCGCAGATGTGAGAGCGTGAGAGGGGGGCATGCTATCACAGCGCTGTGCCGAATTTCACCGGAATCATGTTTTCAGTTTTCCGTTAGAACTCCGAATCCGGGGAAGGTTCCCCTTTTCACCCCTCGCATCGTGAGACGGGACGTCGCAGCCATGACGCTGTCGTAACGGCGCCGCTGTTGGACACACGGGTAGTCCTAGGCATCCCCCTCGGGTCCCTGGGGGTGTGGGTGGGTGGGATTCTTTGGTCCCCCTGAGGCTTGCCTGACGCCTGCCAGGAACAGGCTCGGAGCTCGACGTGGGAAGGGAAGGGAGGGGAGGGGAACCTGTCTCTATCCCAAAAATCCCCACCACCCCTGACGTGGTACGCGCGGCGTCTGGGAGGGGGGCGGCCCGCACATCCACCCCCCCATCATAGGGGAGGGTGTGAAGTCACTGTGTGCGGGACGGGGTGGGCACAGAAGGGTAGCATACGCTTTCCCAACCTTATACTGCTCAGGCACCAGAAGCTTGCCCGAAACCAAAGGGTCGGCAGCTTAAGCCTTCCCGACAACTTTGCGTCAGACGCCACACCATTGAGTTGTATGAATTCATGGTTTTCAGGGCTTCCTCCTCGTACCCCTCTTCCCTTTCCTTCTCATCCTCGTCCGCCTGCTCGTCTTCCTGCGCTTAAATCCTCGTCACTCGTCTGCCCCTTCGCTCTATTATGCCTCCTCCAGCTGCTGCCCTTCCTTCTCCTCTTTTCTCTCAGCATCCCTCTCTTCCTCATCCGCCTGCTTCCCCTTCCTCTCGCCTACGTCTTCCATCGCTTCCCCCTTCCCCCTCGTGTTCGTCGTCGTCATCCTCCTCCTGTTTCTCTTTCTCCTCCTCCTCCTCCTCCTCTTCCTCTTCCTCCTCCTCTTCCGTAGCCATTGCGCCTCAAGACGGCATATGTTGACCTTCGGTTTAAGCGAGCTTCCTCATGTTCTGATTTGGTTTGTTACTCAGATGGCTTCTTCGTTCGATCTTTATGGATATACCTTGGTGTTGGCTGGCAAATCTCTGCGCCTAGCTTTTGCGTATTCGGAGCAACATTTCAATGGCTTGAATATGGCGGCGCATTCGTTTCGCTCTGCCGATCGGCCCAATGGTCGTCACTCGTCGATTTGCTGGTGATCGACGGGGGAGGGTAGCTTCGGCTCGACCCTTTGCAGGCTTCGTCAAGATCCCGCTCCTTTTCTTCCAGACCCGCCGAGGGGGCATATTTCTTCGTGGGTGTTTTCTGTCCCCGAGGCTCTGCAACAGGCGCAGCTCAGTTACGACTCCCTGCTCGCTGCGTACTCAAGTCTTGTCAGGCTTGAAAATGTCACGGTTGGTCAGTTGAAGAGAACACTGGACAGGCTAGGCTGGCCACCACGTCCGTCGTCTCCCTCGAGTTCTCGCTTTTCTTGCTCACGGTCGGAGGACGCGGCGGCATCAGTGACCACGGAGTCTGCCCAGGACGACCTGGGCTGGCCGCTGTCCGAAGCTGTTCAGGGCCCAAAAAACGCGCCGACCTCGAGGGCAAGACTGACGACATCTCTAAGTGGACAGCAGAATCCAGAGCGCGTTGACAGAACTTCTGCCATCTATGCCGCATTTGATTGTAGGCACCATCCCCGATACGATTCCGTATCTATTGAAGGATGTTCTCCCAGGTGCGTTTGAGACAGCTGTTGCGCCCCGACTTTTTCTTTCGGTCGCCGCGGGCATGGGACCACTACCGCAAGATGGCCGTGTGGCGGACACGGATTGCGGCGAGCAGCCCACTGAGGACTTGCGTAGGGAGCATCAAGACAATTTTCAACTGGCGGCGCTTGGACAGAAGTTGGACAAGCGCCACCTCCGCGCCGCCCCGTTTGCGGTCGAGCAGCCCTGGTTCCAGAGACCGTGCCTTGAGCTCCAACGGCGCCGGTACGTCATATGTTGCCGGTATGGCCGTGACTGCCATGGGCGTATTTGCGTTTTCTCTCATCCGAACGGGCGCTTGATCGACGCAGCCTCCTCTGTGCCGCCGGCCACGGATGGCACGCAGCCACAGGCAGCCCAGTCTACTGGTCCGCCTCGTCATTGTGGGAGCTGCGAGGGCCCCCCTCGCATCGAACCGAGGGCAACGCCGATAGATTATACGGACAATGCGATGACATTGTCGACGCCGCAGAGGCGGAGGAGGTTCATGACTTCATCTTGGCAGAGCTCTGCGGCAGCACGGTTGAGACTGACATCGGGGCGGATACGCCGCCCGAGCCCGATGTGGATTGAGGTTGTCTCGCCGCTCTCGAGAATCCTCGACGATTGAATCCTGGGGGATGGCATGGCGCTAGTTCGTTCGTCTTCTTGTCCATCGTTGTCGGCTGGGTCTTTCTGGTGGTGCACATCCACTTGGTCCTGCTATTCTCCTTCAGCTTCCTCTGCTTCGCGTTCAACGTCAGAGTGCGGGCCTGACCCTCTTTACAGGGCCCGCGCGGTACTGCCTTTCTCCATCGCTGTGCCTCGACCTCTTCGTCGCGATCTACGGGATCACAGGACCGGCATTTTCTTCGTTCTCCTCGTCTACGCTTTCTCTCCCGTCCTGTTCTGTGTGTTCGTTATGCGTATTATATAAGATTTGCGCCGCCTGTCGTTCGCCACGGTGTGGCGGGCCGATGATATTCCGTGTTGAATTGTAGCAGACTTCTTGGGCACGCTCCGCCTCTTCCCCCTCCTCTCCGCATTATCCCTCCTCTCCTCGGTATGCCTGCGGACTTTTCGAGGCTGCGCACCAGGGGTCGCTCCTGTCTAGGGCCACTCTTGCATGTAGCCGATCCCCTGCACCCAGGTGAACGACGACGCTTCCCCCCCCCATTCTTGGCTGCACGTCAGAGTGACCCTTCGCCGGAACGTCCGTTGGTCCGTGCCCAGGGCCCCCCCCCCCCCGCACCGGCCTGCGCGCTCGGATGTGGCCCCTCGCGGCCCTGAAAGCCGCGTGCCAAAGGTCACTCCTGCCCAGGGCCACCCTTGCGTGTAGGCCAGTTGCCCCCGCCTTCGGTGTCTGACGGATGTGTCTCCGTCGCCGCTTTTGTTGGTTGCGCGAGGTGTCCTGGTGCCGGCGGGGCTTGTCGTCGCAACTCTTCCCTCATACTTCTTGGCTTCTTCCCGTTTCGAGTGTCGCCAGCCGTCCTGATCGATTCATGACGCGTGAGTGCTGGATCGTCGCCGTCCTCCTCCTCCTCCTCCTCCTTCTCCTCCTCCTCCGCCGCCTCCTCTGCCTCCTCCTCCTCCTCCTCCTCCTCCTCCTCCTCCTTGCATTCGACTTGTCCTCCACCATCTCATCTCCCCCCTTCTTATTGCCATGGCCTTAATTACAGCCGGCACCGCCGACCCTGATGGGGGACGGCGACGACGACGACGGCGACGACGACGACGAGGACGACGCTCTCGAGCCCTCGTGGGGGCTCTTGTGGGCCCTGTTGGCCTCGGGACCCCCGTTGGAACCCTTCCAGGGACCGCCCCCAGCGATCCCCTCCCGGACCGCCCCCCTCCGGCGGGGAAAGGATCAAGGGCCTTCCCTTCGACTCGATTGGTGTCCCCCCTTTTGGCTCTGTGAGGCTCTCCTGGGCCGTCTTGGTCGGAGGGGGGGGGGTCACGACCCCTCGGATTTCCCGGGTCCCTGGGCCCCGGGCCCCCCCCCCGCGCGCCCCCCCCCACCAGGACTTCCTCGGGACCCCCCCGGCTACCCCCACGCCCCCGGCGCGAGGAAGGGATCAAAGGGATGAGGCTTCCCTTTGAGTCGATTAGGACGTTGTTCGATTGTCGTCTGGCTGGGTCGCTTGAGGAGAAGGACAGGGGGAGAGTGGCGACGGCGACTCAAACGGAAAAACGCCCCCCCCTCACACGCCGACAGGCCGACAGGGTCGGCGGATTCCTTATTGCTCCCACTCTGCTAGGCTTACCCGGCCCAGCATCCTCAAGAAAACAGGGGTGCAGGTATCGGTGGATGGACCATGTCCCGCCCCTCCCACCACGAGGAGGCGCGGAGGCGACGCATGAGAGCAGACATGGATATGAGATCAATGGGTCTACATACTTTTTGAGTTGATTATTGTTCATTTTGAACGTGATTTTGCATCGCTTTCGCTAACCTGCACGGGGCCTTGTTGTACTCCTGCATTGCCAGCAAAAAATGCTCCCAGTCTGCCATCTTGCCTCCCGACAGCCCCTAACCCCAACTGGGCCCTTCCGTTCTGCCCGCCGGAAGTGGGAGGGAGTCGGCGTGGTTCTTTTCGGGATGGACGTTTTCCTGTCGACGTTGCAAAATACAGTGGAGGCCCATGCCAAGAAACACCCTGCTCGCCTCCAGGCTGCCTTGGGTTTCTTGGGTTTCGATGGTTCTGCGATGGAAAGCGTGGCGTTCCCACACCAACAATCAAGGGACGTTCTGGGGTCTCAGGGTTGGGCTTCTTGAGGAGGGTTTTTTGTGGACTGGCCTCCACTGTACGCGGCTGGAGGTGGACGCGGCGCACATCGCGTGAGAGGCCGGCATGCTGCTCTCGCCCCAGAGGTGTGCTGCAAGACGCCTTTCTCGAAATCGTTAATTCGCTGTGCGGTTACGCCCGCCAGTCCCGCTGACCATTTGCGCCAGCATTGCTCCTTGTGTCACGCAACGCCGAGTACGAGTGGGCGGGGCCCTCTGACTCGCTTGAGCTCCTCATCTTCCCTCATCCTTCGCATGCTTGCGCAGCGCAGCGCCAATCCAGATAGATGCGAGCGGTCCTCCAGCTTAGCGGGGGGAGATGCTGGAGGGAAGGCGACTCGGCCCGAGCCCTAGGCCCTGGACACAGCTGGCGCCCTCGCCGCCTCCCCTTCCGCTCGATCGAACCAGTTCTCGCGACCCCCGGCAATGGCGACGAGGGCGATCTTTGCGCTGAGCCTCCCGGCGGCCGCGCCCGCGCTCCGCGTGCACGACGCAGGGCGGGCGGAGGCGAACACGACCAAGACGCGGGCAGGCAACTGCGACTGCCTGTCGTGGGCCGACGTCTACTACACCGATAAGGCCGTCAGGGGGCAGCACCAAGGGGGAGACCGTTGGGGGTCAACCGCAACGGTGTTCCCTGGGTGCTGCCCCCCTTCTCCCAACGGTTTTCCCCCAACCATCTTGCCTCACCGAGCGCGTTTCACTACTCGCGAAGTGCCTACTCGCAAACGTCCGAAAAATACGCGTGTGTCTCGATGTAATGGGTCGTAAATCCCCCGCCCCGCGGTGGTTACAGGCCATTTGCGAGTAGTTGCTTCGCGAGAATTGGAACGCGCTTGTCTCCCAAGGGTTTTCTCCAAACCGTCTTCTCCCAACGGTCTCCCCCCCGAGAGGGTGCCACCCAATACAGTGGGCCCCCCTCTAGACCCTTGCTCGCCCTCGGGCAGGAGGGCGAGGAGTAGCAGGAGTCGGCAGTGGGGGGCCTGGCCTGCGGAAGCGGCGGCGCCATGATGCCGAGAATGATGGCGGGGAAGAGGCACGACGAGGAGTGGAAGGACTGAAGGAAGGAGGGGGAGGGAGAAGAAAGAAGATGTGGGAGGGGGGGATAGAGAATAGAGGAGGAAGGAGGAAGAGGGAAAGACGGAGGGGGGAGCGATGATGGAGGCAGGAGGGAGAATGAGAAGGGAAAAGCGAGTAGGAGGAGTAGGAGGAGACAGGGGGAAGGGGAAGGTGGGAGGGGGGGAATAGCAAGGAGAAAAGGGGGAAGGAATGAGGACCAGTGTAAACCCACGACTCATCCACGATGTTGAAATACACCCTCCCTCCAAGATCCCTCTTCACAGGCCCCTACAAGGGGTCATTTCCACTGAGGAAATTGCCCCGTCGGGACAATCGTGTGAACATCGTGATGCGTGCCAAATCACCAGTCTCAGGATTTCAACGCCACGAGTTAACCTTACTGTTGCGTGTTGGTGATCCTTAATCTTACCAGAACGCAGTTCCTGGGACTTCACAACGCGAATCAAGGTAATTGTTGCGCCCTGACAATCCCGAGTCGCTCCAATACAGTTTTTGGGGTACGCTAACCATGAGGACCAGCGAAACTTTTCTGCAATTGTTTAAAGCGAATGCGCGCGGCGCTAAGGCGAGAGCCACATGTTGAAAACGAACCGCCCTCACTCGGTGAAACTCAAGTGCGCGGCGCGGAGGCGAGAGCCACAGTTTGAAAACGAGCCGCCCTTAATCCGTGAAGCTCTTGCACCTGTTAAAGACAAATGTGCGCGGCACGGAGGCGAGCGCCACATTTTGAAAACGAGCCGCCCTCGATCCGTGAAGCTCTTGCAATGGGTTAAACGAATGTACGCGGCGCTAAGACGAGAGCCACATTTTGAAAACGAGCCGCCCTCAATCCGTGAAGCTCTTGCAATGGTTTAAACGAATGCGCGCGGCGCTAAAGCGAGAGCCACATTTTGAAAACGAGCCGCCCTCAATCCGTGAAGCTCTTGCACCTGTTTAAGACAAATGTGCGCGGCACGGAGGCGACAGCCACATGTTGAAAACGAGCCGCCCTCGATCCGTGAAGCTCTCGCAATTGGTTAAACGAAAGTACGCGGCGCTAAGACGAGAGCCACATTTTGAAAACGAGCCGCCCTCAATCCGTGAAGCTCTTGCAATGGTTTAAACGAATGCGCGCGGCGCTAAAGCGAGAGCCACATTTTGAAAACGAGCCGCCCTCAATCCGTGAATCTCTTGCATCTTATTGCGAGTGTACGCGGCTCTACGGCGAGAGCCACAATAAAAAAACACCCACCCTCCATTCGTGAAACCCTTGCCCTTTTTTATCCATCAGGGTCATACATGGTGAGGAAGCCTCAGGCGAAACGCCCAGCCCGCCCTTTCGACTGGCCTGGGGGCGCGACAGGGAGGAGTTAGCTATGATAACAAGGAGTTGAGGTCGGAGGAGAGAGGGGAGGAGGAGGAGGAGGAGGAGGAGGAGGAGGAGGAGGAGGAGGAGGAGGAGGAGGAGGAGAAGGAGCAGAATTTGGTCCGAGGAGGAGGAGAAGGAGAAGGAGGAGGAGGAGGTGAGGAGGGGAAATAAGGAGGGAGGGGTGGGAAGGGAGGGGGAGAGGGATGGAAGGCAAGCTAGGTGCGCTCGCGTCATATCTGACGTCCTACCCCTCCCTCCCATCCCTTACCATGGCGCTGATTTTCTCTATCCGCGGACGCGTGTCGTAGCGGACCTGTGGCTCCGCGCGCGCGTGCGTAGTGGGTGGTGGTGCACGTGCGTGCGTGCGTGCGTGTGTGCGTGGTTGTCGTGGTGGTGGTGGTGGTGGTGGTAGTGGTGGTGGTGGTGGGTGGTGGTGGTGGTGGTGCTGGTGGTGGTGGTGGTGCTGGTGGTGGTGGTGTTGGTACTGGTGCTGGTGCTGGTGTGGTGGTGGTGGTGGTGGTGGTGGTGGTGGTGGTGGTGGTGGTGGCGGTGCGGCGCGGTGGTGGCGGGCGGATGGGCGCGCGAGAAAGAGGCCCGCGCTGGGGCGAGAACGCCATCCTGAACGACGGAGGCCAAACACCGATCCGAAAATGAGGCCCACGCTGCAGCGGGAGCACGATTCGGAACGATTCGGGAGCAGAAATGAGGCCGGCGCCTCAACGAGAGCAGCATTTTGGGAAAAAATGACGCCGGCGCCTCAGCGAGAGTCGTTTCCCGGGATTTCCCGGGCATCCTGTGTGTAAAAAACAGTACGCGGAGAGTGCGCGGCCATCACCCGGACGCCATCAGGGGAAGAGGGAGAGTATTTTCATATTGAGTAATTGTAGACGGAGAGAGGAGAGTTAGATGGAGGAGGTGGGGAGTGCAAGGGGGAGGATGACAAGTAGGGAGATGAGGGAAATGGCGAGATTATCCATACAGAGAAGGAGGCATACCACCCTTTGGGTGATAAGAACGTGGAGGGGAGTTGAGGGACATGCAAGTGGATGTGCGTTAATTTTTCGATGTGCAGTTAAGTGTGCATTTCTGTTATAATCAGCTCACCGATGCGATTTGGATACTGGTTGTCCAACTATACTTACATACCGATGTACAGTTCGACGTTGCTTTTGATTGCATTTCGATGTGCAGTTCGATCTTCATTTCGACGTGCATATCATTTGCATTTGCATCGTCTGGAACTGGATTCGCATTCTGGCGTGGATCCCCCACGGAACACCACCGGACATACGCGGGACAACCGGCGGGACGACAATTAGATAGCCAACGGGACAACCCACGGAAGAGCCACGGGACAGCCTACGGGACAACCACAGGAGAATCCACTGGACAACACACGGGACATCCGCAGGGCAATCATGGACCAACCCACGGGACAACCAAGGGACAACCACAGAACAGTCCACGGCCCACTGCGAGACGAGAGCGGATTTGTTTTCCCCGATTTGGCCCCAGTAGCGGCTGACGTATCATCGCTCTCGTCCAGATCCGCCTCGCCCGTCTCCGCGGCACCAAGCAACACCGAAACCGATTTCCCGGTTGGGGTCACTGCGTTCTGCCCATTGGGCTTTCGATCGTGATGGTCTGCCGGCTGCGTTCTGCAGCCCCTGCCAGCAATACGGCCTTTGTAAGCTCTGGCAAGGCCTGGTGTGGCCGCGCGAACGAGCTGTATTTTCTGAGCAAGAACGGGTTCTCCGCGTCGTACGCAGCCACCGAGCCCATCACTGGTTTGCCACACAAGGTGTGCGCCGACTTCTTCAAGAACTTCGCAGACGCGTCTTGCCTGAACATAGACTTGTACCCCTTCCCAGAGGACGAGAAGAGTGGTAAGCAGTGGTGCTACGTTTCGAACGACTGCGCCGACCTGAACGGGGGCGGGTATGCCACAAATGCAGAGGGCTTCGCGCAGAGCAGTTGGCACAATTTGCAAACTGCGTCCTTCCAACAGTGGAAGATTTGCGACCCTGCGGAGGCGAACACTGAGGCGATGATGGCCAAGCCGGTTCCCACAGTGGTCGCGTTAGGGAAGGCCAGCGACGTCCCTCTGTCCCGCCTGCTGCGGCTGTCGTACCCCGCCGTGAACATCAGCTGGGGCCAGGCTAAGTTTTTGTGGGACGCCATCAACGACGAGTACGATGAGAACAGGACTCGGAGCAGGGCGAGCTGAGACAACGGCAGCTCAAATCGATCCCCAGCACCTCCCTTGGTCCAAGCGCACCAGTTTTTGTTCCGACCTGCGTCCAGCTGCGGCGACGAGCGCCCCCCCCCCCCCCGAAGGCCAACTACCGTTGTCTCAACTCGCCCTCCTCTCAAGGACCATCGCCGAGATGGTCGATGCCGTCCCGCCGGTCAGCGGCTGGGGCAGCGCCATCGAGGAGGCGCACGCCAGGCTGCGCGAGATCGCCAAGTCGGAGCAGGGCACCGTGCTGGACTCTGCGGGCCACGGCGACAACTTCCACGTGGCCTTCCCGTCAGAAGATCCCGATCCATCTGGCAACAGCGGAGGGCTATCAGCATGAGCTTTTGGAGCTCCGCGCAGGTTTCTTGGATCGGCGCGCGGAGCCCCCTGGCGGCGCTGCCAGCGCCGCCCCTGGCGCCGCCCCTGGCGCCGCTCCTGGCGCGCTCCGCGCGCCAGGGAGGGGAGTCCATCGCCGATCTAAGACATCCGCGCAGAGCTCCGAAAGTTTACGCTGATGCATCTGCTTTATTTCTCTACGATCAGGAACTTTGGCTCAGCATGTAGCTTCGCCGTTTATGGCCCACCTGTACTTCGGCGCGACACGTAATCCACGGCCCCGTACCCAGGGATCAACGTCCGAAGCCTTTCCCAGCTTCCCGGCCCGAGGAGCGGAGCGGAGCGACACGCCATCCTCTTGCAGGGCATAGCGTGTCGCCAGAGCCGCCGCCGCGACACGCTATGCAAAAGTTCCCGACCGCACCAGCGATCAGACCGCCGCCCCGGCCGATCCGTCGATCCAGCGGGACCGGGGTTGCCCGTCGGGCCTCCCGTCGACAGGCCGCCACGCGTCTTCTGGGGCCTGGGTCTCGGGCCCTGGCACGGGCGGGGCCAGCGAGGTCGGGAGGAGAGGCTCGCCTTGGATCCGGAGGTCGGGCAGGCCCAGGACCAGGACAGATCGCCCCAGAGCGACCCGGAACGCTCTCAGAGCGTCCCGGAGCGCGCTGGAGCGGCCGCGGCGCCCGATGCGTCCTCGTGAACCGCCAGGTCTCACAGATCCTCGATCTGCCCCGGTCCGATCTTGTCCCGGGCTTGGACTCGTCTTACGAGGGGGGGCGGACTCTGAGGTCCAGGGGCGCGCCGCGTACTCGGTGACACGGATCCCGCTCGGGAATATGGCGTACTTGAGCGGCCATTTCTCCAAGGACTGGAGCGGAAGTAGTCCAAGGGGGGGAGGAGGAGGAGGAGGAGGAAGACGAGGAGGAGGACCAGCAGTAGCAGGAGGATGAGGAGAAGCAAGGATCAGGACGGGGTGGAGGGGAAACAGTGTATGCACGAGGAGGATGAGGAGGAGGGGGGGATCATGAAGAGAAACAGGATGAGTAGGAGAAGGAGAAGGAGGGGAATGAGAAGAAGCAGGAGGAGGAGGAGGAGCAGGATGAGGAGGGGGGAGAAACAAGGACGAGGACGGGGAGGAGGGCAAACAGCGTATGCAGGAGGAGGATGGGGAGGGAGGGGCATGACGAGAAACGGGATGAGCAGGAGAGGGAGAAGAATGCGAATGAGAAGGCGGATGAGGAGGAGGAGCAGGAGGAGGAGGAGGAGGAGGAGGAGGAGGATGAAGACGAGGAGGAGGACCAGCAGTAGCAGGAGGATGAGGAGAAGCAAGGATCAGGACGGGGTGGAGGGGAAGCAGTGTATGCACGAGGAGGACGAGGAGGAGGGGGGGATCATGAAGAGAAACAGGATGAGTAGGAGAAGGAGAAGGAGGGGAATGAGAAGAAGAGGAGGAGGAGGAGGAGGAGGAGCAGGAGGAGGAGGGGGGAGAAACAAGGATGAGGACGGGGAGGAGGGCAAACAGCGTATGCAGGAGGAGGATGGGGAGGGAGGGGCATGACGAGAAACGGGATGAGCAGGAGAGGGAGAATAATGCGAATGAGAAGGCGGATGAGGAGGAGGAGCAGGAGGAGGAGGAGGAGGAGGAAGACGAGGAGGAGGACCAGCAGTAGCAGGAGGATGAGGAGAAGCAAGGATCAGGACGGGGTGGAGGGGAAACAGTGTATGCACGAGGAGGACGAGGAGGAGGGGGGGATCATGAAGAGAAACAGGATGAGTAGGAGAAGGAGAAGGAGGGGAATGAGGAGGAGGAGGAGGAGGAGGAGGAGTAGGTGGAGGAGGAGGAGGAGGAGGAGGAGGAGTGAGGAGGAGGAGGAGGAGGAGGAGGAGGAGCAGGAGGAGGAGGAGGAGGAGGAGGAGGAGGAGAAGAAGGAGGATAAGGAGGAGTAGGAGAAGGAGGAGGAGGAGGAGGAGGAGAAGAGGAAGGCGTGTGGAGGAGTGGTCGGAGGAACAGTCCAGCGCCCGTTCCTGGCCCGAGCCCCCAGACCAGAACCATCATTTGTGTTGGTCACCACTTACCAGGCTACACCAACCCAACCCGACGGCCCTCGACCACCCCAAATTTCGGGTTGGAGGTGTACGAGTCTCATCGTGTTTCCTCAACGTTCTGGAGTGACCCCCCGCTGGAATACGACGAGTCCAGCGGTGACTTCGGGTTCTTTGGGGGTGGTTCGGTAGATAGCCAGTTGGAGGATTTTTCTGGGGGGACTCAGCCTTGCGTTAGACCAGTTGTATGCCGTCACTTCGCTGAGGCAGCGGGAAGTGGTACCACGCACCTCTAGCTACCGAAACCAAGTTGCACGCGTGCGTCCTCGTTCGCGGATGCCGACGTGGAATACCCTCCAGCAAGCGGTGGCTGCCGCGAGAATGGTGAAGGAGGAGGTGAAAAGGAGGAACGGGGATGGGGTCGTAGCGAACCAGAAGCAGTAGCTATCGCTGAGACGTGCACGCGCCTGCAAGCAGAGGCCACGATGGGGCTATCCTCTGACAAATAGGCGGATGACTGGTGTGGTCAAAGCTTTGTCCCGTTCAGCAGAGGCAGCTAGATTGCGTCAACAGGTGCCTGAGTACGCAGCAGAATAAGGGCCGTGAGGCAAGCAATGCATCAGAAGTCAAGAAGGTCCCTTAACATGAAGGCTGGCGGGCGAGGACATGAGGATGCGATGGGTTCCCGCCGTCACGGTCCATCAGCACTCCGCACCAGCCGAGCCCTGCAACAAGGTGTCGGTCCCCAGGCCACGGCTCCGCCGCGGCCTGTCTGTCGCCACCACTCCCATTAGCGAGGCTCGCGACCAGACAGAGCCTCTTCTTTGCGCCCGTCCTGCACAGAAGAGGACGTTGCCTGGCCTCGATAATCGAGGTGGCCACAACATGGTCCCGCCCACGACAAGAAGGTGAGGACAGGATGATGAAAGAGACGGAGGTAGGAACCATGAGGGAAACTCGGAGCCAGGCCTCTGACAGATGCGGTGGGTGGGGCACCTCAAGCATGCCCGTCTGGGATCGCAGCCCCGCACCCGGGGAGGAGGGGAGGGAGGCATCTTCTAAGGTGCACCTGCAGCATCCGCAAGGGGAAGCAGGCAGTGGGCCCGCTTCGCAGTAGTGACGGGATCCTCGTAGGAGGAGGGCCTAGTGAAAGTAGCCCCATAAAGGAAGGAGAAAGTGGTCTCGTCAAAATCGGTGGGCCTGGAATTCCAGCCGTGTGCGGTTGGCTGCGTGCGCGTCCTGAGTAGTAGCTTGGAGGGCACAAAATGAAACGACTATGTCATTGCTCGATGCATGCCCTCTCTCTCATATGAGGGGGAGGGGAGGAGGCATCACCTACTGGAGGTGCGAATGTTATTCCAAAAAGTTGGCAAGCGGAGAGAGGAGATAGGAAAGGCGGCACTATGTGTAGGTGCTCCTTCCGGTGGTCTGGGGTTTAGACTTGGTGCTTGCAGGCCAGGGGCCTTTTCAAACGCCAGAGTGCATGGGCGATGGCATGTGGAGGCAGCCTTGGAGGAGGACAGCTTCGTGGGAGGCGGGGCGTGCATTCTCACAGTGTCCTCGCATCTGCACGGTGCTACACATGCCTGCGCGTTCGAACCCGCAGCACTGGCGTGTCATGAAGTTGGACACGCTGGGGCAATTGCCAGCGCGTTCTAGCTCGGCACCGTGGCTGCTCCATATTTGCGGCGTCCAATCCCACGGAGTAATATCATCCGAACGCTGCTGCACACGCACATGTCATTGGCTTGTGCTGCATGCCGCACTCCACAGACCCCTCAACCTTGGGGTCATCGACGGTCATCTCAACGCTCGTTGTGCCAGCCGAGATGGGACCCTGAGCGGAGGGACATCGTGAAGAGTAAAACCGAGCTGCGGTTTTCAATCGCACTGGCACGAACAGTGTGAGACATGGCAGGCACCAGGAGAAAGAGGAGGGGAGAGAAGGAGGAGGAAGAGGAGGAGAGGCGCGACCGCACGGCAGCGAGCTAGAGAACAATGGCGGCCTTCGCAGCTGCCAGAGTTGTGCAGCATCACACTCGGCACTGAGCCTGTGATCTGTGTGAGACGCCAAGGCACGAATCGAAGGCAGACGGGCACGGGGACACTCCCGCTCTGAATCTGGCTCCATGCCCACCAGCCCGAGGCGAGTCATGGGGGAGACGGGCAAGTGGCCACGAGGGAGTGCAAGCAGGGGCACGAAACGTGGTGGCTGATCTCGTCACGCGCTGGGGGCGCGCATCCGAACAGAGGGCATCTGAGCCATGGCTGGGAGCCGAGCTGAGGTGGTCCAGGCGCCGGCCAACATCTTAAGGTGGGCCCATGCCTCGTAGGGCGGAGTCATCGCCAGAATCCCACGGAGCGCTGCCCATCGCTGCCTGATCTCATCGTCCTGGAGTTTGGGGGGAAGTGGGGGAGCCAGGAGTAGATGCGACGACGAAGGAGGGAGCGCACGAGATCAGGGAGCACTGAAAGCCAGAGCGACCGAGCAAGCACTCGCTGAGGGCGGGAGTCACGGCCCTTCCGTCTGGCAGCACGGAGCTTCACATTGGCCGCGGCCGCGCCCTCTTGCCAGGCGCGCTGGGCGATGCCCATGGGAGAAGTGGATTTGCTGACACGATTCCTCCACCACTCGGGCCAGAGGGCCCCTTGGATGAAAGCCACGAGGTGCCACCCAAGCATGCTCTCGCAGCTGTGGTGGAGCGGCCCTCCACCGCTCCACCGCTCCCGCCTTCAGAGTGACGCGTGCCGTCCCGGGAGGGGGGGGCAGAGGGGAGCCAGTTTCGAATGCTCAACACTTCCGCTAACGCGAACACGCGCGCGGAGACGCAGGAGGCGGCGAGGACGAGGCGCTCAGAAGAGAGCACAGCAGCATGGAAGGGGAAGAGTTGGGATAGGCAGTGCCACACTGGGGGAATCCCCATGTTTACCATCCTGCAGCTAGCCTCCGCGGGAGCCCTGGTGAGGGACGTTTCCATGGTCCTGCTCTTCTGCTTTCGCACCACCCTTGTGGGCTGATCCTTCAGACCAGCCTCGGGGCCGACCAGAGTCCCCAGTTCCACCACCTCCCTCCAACGATTTCAAAATCTACAAAGACCGTCAGCGCCAGATAGTCCTTGCTCTCCAGCCTGCCAGAGGTACGCGAGGAAGCGAGGATGGAGGAGAGAAGGGTATACACTTCGAGCAATAACAGTTGATATGTCGTACATAACAATCTCACAAGGCTGGCCCGCTCGCAGGTGGAGGGGAAGGGGGCCGAGGCACCGTCAGGGGGGTGCGCCAAGAGGAGAGTGAGCCTGCGAAAGTACACGCTCACAGAGAGAGGGGTAGGGAGAGGGCAGCTTTGGGAGGTGCGCCTGCGGCACCGCAGGGGGTGGGAGAACTGGGAGAGGAGAGAAGAAAAGAGACACTTTCTGGAAGTGCCCTCCGCTGCATAGCGGGGCCTGCTTTGCAGCAGGGTCATGGCTCCTGTTGGGTAGCATCCCAGGAGAGGGACCTCAGATGAGCAGGAAGGGAGGAAGACTGGAGGTGAGAGAGAAAGTCCAAGAAGACTTATGGTCTCGTACTCTCTGGCGCGTAATCTCTGTAAATGGGGGAGCAGGTGACCATCCCCGGCCTGTAAGGCCAGACGGAAGATGTGGCAAGCATGATGAAGGTTCAAGAAAGAGAGAGAGAGAGAGAGAGAGAGAGAGAGAATGTGATCTTCAAAGCGCCCCAGGGCAGCTGTAAAGGTAGCCTCTACAGACCCCCAGCGAGCAAGATCGTTCACACATCTAGTGACGATTTGCCCCAGCAGAAAGTCAGACTCGGCTCCTGATATATGGAGTAGGGAAACTCCGTGACTGATAAGATGGGCGTGGACGTAGTCCACAGCGAATTGGTGGATATTCGGGGAGCTTCCTGTGGACTACTCGCCGTCCCCAAGGATGACTCGAAGGAGTCAGCGGGCTCCTCCGTCAAACTGGAGAAATCCTCCGTCCTAGCTGGACAGGTTAAGTGCATAAGCGAAGTCAAGTTTGTCCGCACTTTGACCAGTGACAAAGATAGAGGGGAATCATGCGCTTCAGAATCCCTTAGGAGCTCGGCCGCGTCTGCGAACAAAAGGAGTGTCGCGGGAAGGGTTTCCTCATACGGATCTCCATGGGCCTGAGGGGGAAAAGAGGAGGAAACCGCATTGGCAGTCGGCTGGTGAGGCGCAGCCGTGTCAGAAGGTGCCGAGGAGGTTGGGGGTGCAGAAGGGGAGGAAGGAGGCGCGTCGGCCGAAACGCTGGGTCCGTGTTGACCCTGGTGCTGAACAGGAGCGGCCAAAGGCGCTTGCTGGATGGACGAAGATGCCGTCTCCTGGATAGGTGAAAGCGGGGCCCCTCTCTGGATGGATCCTCCGACCCCGCTGCGGGGGTCAGAGGATCCATCCAGAGAGGGGCACTGTGTCCATCTAGCCAGATACCCGAGCCGAAGCAAGACATGGGGCTTCAGCGTGGGCCCGAGTCTGTTCTGTAGAAGGATATGATGGAGGGCAGTGCGAAGCATCGGATGGAGCATCGGGAAAAGGTTCCCCTGACCTCTCCCGAGATGCAGTGTGATCTTGCGGTCGTGGCCCCTCCAGTGTACTGGGGGCGAGACGCTTGGGAGAGCGCCACAGCCTTGGCCCGCACTGCTGCTCTAGAGGGGACATGCCAGGGGAAGGCGTTAAATACCGAGGAGTCTCCACAGGACGGGGCTCCACCGCCGCTGAGAAGTCGTCCTCGTCCCCACTCTCTTCCTCAGCCTCCAGGCACGCATGTGGGGAAGCGTGCGGAGAGCCGCCAGCTGGGGCGGAGGGAGGCGCCCCACGGCCGCCCCGTGAACAAGACAGGTCAGCTGGGGATGGAACAGGACAGGAGTTCAGGGCAGAGCAAAGGGCCTGCCCCAACAGGGGCGGCTGGTTGCCCCTGTGCCGCAGGGCTTGGGGGGACCGCAATACGGATTGAGTCACACGTGCATCTGCCCTTCTGTACTGGGCTCGGCGGGCCGCCGCCGGTCTTGGCGGCCGCCGTCGAGGAGGAGGAGGAGGAGGAGGAAAAAGAGGAGGAAAAAGAGGAGGGGGAGGACGAGGAGGACAAGGAGGAGGAAAAAGAGGAAGAGGAGGAGGAGGAGGAGGAGGAGGAGGAGGAGGAGGAGGAGGAGGAGGAAACGGAGGAGGAAACGGAGGAGGAGGAGGAGGAAACGAGGAGGAGGAGGAGGAGGAAACGAGGAGGAGGAGGAGGAAAACGAGGAGGAGGAGGAGGAGGAGGAGGAGCAGGAGAAAGAGCAGGAGAAAGATGAGAAAGAGGAGGCGGCGGATCCATGTCGGCCGCGCGGCGCGCGGCGGCAGGGGGCGCGCTGTGAGGGGAGAGGGGCGACGCCGCGGGGGGCCTGTCGAGCTGGCGCTGGTCCAATTCCCGCGGGTGGCAGGTGGGCGATCCAACTGATCCCGCAGAGGTGCGGGCCGATGAGCCCCGCTGAGCTGGCCGGCACTGCCACGGAGGGGGTGATTGAGCGCATCGATGTCATTGGGCCAATTGCTGCTGCCGCGCGCACCTGAGATTTACAATGCCAGCGGGCCAGAAAGAAGAGCAGGCGGGCGGAGCGCAGATACAGTAGAGACCCATGCCAAGAAACACCCTGCTTGCCTCCAGGGTGCCCTGGGTTTCTTGGGTTTCGATGGCTTTGCGATGGGGAGCGCCACGTTCCCACACCAAACATCGACAGATGTCTTGGGGTCTCAGGGTTGGGTTTCTTGTGGAAGGTTTCTTGTGGACTGGCCTCCACTGTAGACTGAGGAGGCGGACGAGCTCTGTGGGCACGGGGTGCTCGAGCCCTGCTTTCGGAGGGCCATACTGCCATACTTCCACTTCGCGCACGGGCCCAATAGCCAAACACGTCGCGCCTCGTCGACACCTCTGCCGTCAAGCGCGCACTCCCAGGCGCGGTGAACGCCAAACGTTCCCTTCACATCGCAACCCGCATGCCTCGAGATGGGCTCAGGCTTTGGGCCAAGCGGCGGCCGTCCAGGATTTTCCCCGCTGGCAGGCGCGCCCCACGTCAGGTTCGCGGCGCGCGGGGACCCATTCACACGTCGGCGCATCTGGGCGCGTCGCACGTTTCGAAGAGGAAAAACCGGCATACACATGAGCTTTTTGACGGTCCGCGCAGATTTCTGGGATCGACGCTGGGCCCCCCTCCCTGGTGCGCAGAGCGCGCCAGAAAGCGGCGCCGGAGGCGCCGCCAGGGGGGGGCCAACGCAGGTCCAAGGAATCCGCGCGGACCGTCAAAAGTTCAGGTTTACGCCGCTTTTGTTCCCTCCGCAAGTGTCCAGATCGGCTGCGTCGACCGTGGTTCCGATATTAGAGCAGGGGGTCCACTGCCCTGGGCCGATCTGTCTCTGTCTGGCTTGGCTATTTCCCCTGCTCGTACTGTTCCCTCTCCCTCTTTGTCAATCCTGGCCCCCTCTCCTTTCTCCCTTCCCCTACTGCTCTATTCCCCCTTGCGCCTTCCCCTGCTCCTCCCCCTCCCTCCACACCACCTCTGACTTCCTCCTTGCGGCGCGCCGCCGATCTGATCCTTCCCCTCTGCCCCTTCCTCTGTGCCTCCCCCTTCCCCTCCACCCCCCCTCCCCCCGCTGCCCCCACCTCCCCTCCCCCTGCCCCCCTCTTCCCCCCCTGGCCAGGGAGGGAGAGCTAGGCTACCCCCAGGGGCGCGAAGATGATTGCGATTCGCGCGCCGCGGCTTGGGCTGGAGATGCGCCCTTCTCCAGGGCACCAGCGCGAGGGCGCGAAGTCCGGTGACCTCAGAGATGGGGCCTGGCTCCCTCCTTCCACCCTGCCAGGGAGGGACGGAGAGAAGGCCTTTGGGCCAGGGGCATTTGTCCCTGCCCCCCAAGGCTCCGAGCCAGCGCTTCCTAGGCCCGCGGGCAGCGCCCAGGCAGGGCTTCCTAGGCTCGCGCGCAGCGCCTGGGCAGCCCCCAGGCAGCGTTTCCTTGGCTCGTGGGCAGCGCCCAGGCAGCTCCTGGGCAGCGCTGATAAGCCCCCCCCTCCCCGGCGGGCCCCTCGTCAGGAGTACGAGGTCACCTGCCTCGTCGGCTGCGCAGAGCCCGAGGCCCGCGACACTGTCGACCTGGACACGATGTGAGTCACCGCGCTCCCTGTGCCCTCTCCGTCTCCCATCCCTTGTCGTCGTCGTCCGCCTCCTCCTCCTCCTCCTCCTCCTCCTCCTCCTCCTCCTCCTCCTCCTCATCCTCCTCCTCCTCCTCCCCCGCCTCCTCCTCCTCCTCCTCCTCCTCCTCCTCCTCCTCCACCTCCTCCCATGCATGTTCATTTATCCTCCTCATCATCCTGCTTATCCTCCTCCCCACGTCCTGCTTCTACCCATCCTTGTTGTCCTCCTCCTCCTCCTCCTCCTCCTCCGCCTCCTCCTCCTTCTCCTCCTCCTCCTCATGCTCCTCCTTCTACCCCTCCTTGTTGTCCTTCCCGTCCTTCTCCTTGTCCTCCTCCTTCTCCTTCTCTTCCTCCTCCTCCTCGTCCTCCTCCTCGTCCTCCTCTTCTTCCTCCTCAGCCTCCTCCGCCGGCTCTTCCTCCGCCCCTTCTGTTTCCCCCGCGCCGTGGGGGTCGGCCGAGTGCGCGTGCTTGTTTTTTGCTGGCCAGCGACTGCTTTGGGTCGGTGGCGCGCAGAGGCATCCGGCGCCGGGAGCGCCTGCACCACGCAGGGAGGATCAGCGATGATCGCGGAGCAGGAAGAGAGGCGTGCGAGGAGGAGGAGGAGGAGGAGGAGGAGGAGGAGGAGGAGGAGGAGGAGGGATATCGAGCTGGAGTAGGCGGGAGGGGGGGTCGGAGGCAGGGGAGGCGGAGGAGGAGGAGAAGCGGGAGGAGGGGGAGGAGGAGGAAGAGGAGGAGGAGGAGGGAAAAGCTGTGGAGGGCGAGGAGGAAGCGTGGATTCAGAGAGAGATGAAGAAACGATAAGGGGAGGGGTGCGCGCTTGCATTTGCGCCGCGGGAAATCGACCACCCTGCCTCCCCCCGCCGCTGTTTGCATCGGAGGTGCACATTGACATCGTCACAATACAGCAGCAGGCGCCCCTCCCTCCCGCCGTGCGTCGCGCATCGACCTTGCGCCGCAAAAACTCATCGACGTGTGCTCCCAACCACACTGTTTGAAAGAGTTAAGGGGAATGCATGAATAATTTGAGCTTCGCGCTTTTCCCGTCAACTCAGCCAGCGACAGAACAGGCAAGTAATTCCCAGACGAGGTGCCGTTCCGATGATGACGCAAAGACGGTTCATGAAAAGATGGGGACACTTGTCACGCCAAGGGATCCATACAAGCATGCCTGTCGTACTGCTGAGCCACGATGATATTTGCTAATCTCAGCCTGTTTCGGCGAAGCTTCGCCAACCGTAGCCTTACCTGGGCGCTGACCTTGTTTCAGAATTGTTGAGTTTGGTGTTACGTTCCTTGGCGTGGCGTACTGCGTGCATTTTGCCAAGCCCATCAGCTTAACTGGACTTGATCGGGTGAGCGGAATGTTCCGTATCGAAGCCGCGCTAACGCTAGCTTAGCTGTGCAACGGAGCTTGGCTTATGTAGTTCAGCATGATGTCGCGTGGCCCAGCTTCACTCATTTTAGCTTCGCGTAGGCAGCTCAACTTGCAGCAGTTTTGCTGTAGCTTCTTACGTATCGGGGGCCCTCCAGGTGGCATTCCGTATCCTGGGGAATGTGGGGGTGTCCTCAGGCAGGCTCACCGATTAGAACATGTACGATGGCAAACTGCAGCACTATTGCGGCATTCCTGGAGCTTCTTGGAGCATCGTAGATGCCGCTCGGGGCCCTCTTGATATTCTCTTGGAGTGCTTTTGGACAGCTGTGGGGCTCTCTACGCAACGTGCAAATCCAACGAGTCCATGGATGGAGGGCGGGTGTTATTGTTTCTAGTATGGGGCTCATGGCGCCGCGCACCTTCGGCTTTGCTACATCCGAGAGCTACCCGGATGGAGGGTGGTTGGTTGTCAAAATGGGGTTTCCGCATGAGACTGTTTCAACAGTTATTGTCATGTGCATAGAAGTGTATTATTTCCGCGGATGGAAGGGATACTAGCGTTTTTTTGTATTGGGCTCTCGCTTTGGCGCTGCACGAGTTCGTCCAACTGCTACACGGATGGAGGGTGAAATGACTCTCGCCTTGGCGCCGCGCACGCTCGTGTTTACCAAATCCACGAGCTCCGCGGAAGGAGTGCTGGTGGTTTTCACGCTGGAGGTTTAGCATGGTCTTCTCAAAGTTTTATCATATGTACAACACTGTACGATTGTCACACGGATTGAGTGCGGCTGATTCTCAAATTTGGTTTCTCGTTTGGGTTTTCTTCTGGCTTTCTGACAATAGTTCTAAAAGTGTGCTACAGCTACGGATAGATGGCAGTTGTTTTTCAACACGTGGTCTCGCTTGGGAATTCGTTGAGGTTAATCGCCCCACCTTGTTGCATGCCTTCTGGCTCGAAGGGGAGAGAGCAGTCCCTTTCAAATCGGAGCTCCCGCTTTGCGCTGGCGGGACGTATTCGGAAGGCGTCGGCGGATTCGAGGCGAGTTAGAGCGCTTGGGCAGACCAAGTGCGCGGAGGAGCTGAAGGGCGGGGCCCGCTAAGCGGCGCTGGCTGCGGTGGCTAAGGCTGCCAAGAGCAGCCACAACGTCGCCTGGCAGCAGTGGAACGCGTTCTGCCGCATCCGTGGGGAGAGCCCCTTCTTGGACGGCCAGACAAAAGAGGAGAAGCGCGAGGACGAGAAGGAGCTGCTGTTCGTGGTCCACTTGTGGAACAACCTTCCGGGCGCGCATGACACCATCCGCTCCAAGCCCCGGGGTGCGGGCTCAACGCGCGTGGCTTGGTGAGCTGGGCCCGTTGGTTGGAAAGCCTCGGCCGTGGATGGCGCTGAACGGCATCGAGAGGTTGCAAGGGCCAGGGGAAGGAAGCTGCCGGCCGCGATCCGCATGCTCGAAAACAGAAAGGCGCGCCCGAACCCCGAATCGGACCAGGACGGCGCCGTGCTCGACTTCCTACTTCCTGATCATCACGGCCTTCTTTCTGATGAGGGTTGGATAATACGCGCACGCGGGCTACTGAGACCATCGCAATGTGCTGACTGGTTTGGACGTGGCGGCGAAGCGCAAGGGTGGGCCAATGCATCATGTCGCTCTGCCGGCGAGGCGGCGTTGTGGTTCAAGGCGAGCAAGCCGGACCAGGTGGACGCAGGCACGGCGAGGAACCATTGCTCGGCAGGAGGCGAGATTTTCCCGGCGTGCTGGGCAGAAAAGTACCAGCGGCATTTCCCGGAGCGGATGGGATGAGGCAAGGAAGCGCATTTCCCACTTGCGCGGTGGGCGGAAGGCAGCCCAATGTCGCGGCAGAGGATCCAAGAGGAGCTGCAGCGGGTGGCAGTGGCGGAGGGGTACCCAGTCTCGCAGTTCGGCTCCCATTCGCAGAGGATCGGAAGGGCACGGCTTTGGCACCATCACTACAGCTACTGCGACACCGTAGTGGTAACGAGGTGGGGAAGATGGAACAGTGGCGCATTCCACCAGTACTTGTTAGAGGCCAACGCGACGGCCCAGGGCGTCGCAGCATCGATGGCCAAGTCGGTCTCCGCCCCGCACGCGGGCTACGATGCGGCGCAGGAGAGGGTCTGGACGCGGGGGGGGGGGGGGCGATAATCTCACCAGGAGGGTGAGGGCCAGGCGCCGACGTGAGAGTCGGGGTGTGAGGCGCGAGGAGGAGATTGTGACGCGGGAGCTCGGTGCGGCAAGCCTGGCGCGAGGAGCGCGGCGCGCAGCGGGTCGGCGGGTGACTTGGCGGGCGTCGGTGCGCTCAAGAGGGACGGGCGGGAGGAGTGAGGCGACAGCCATTTTGGCAAGGATCCGAGGCGCAGGCCCACTGTGAGATCAAAGGGCACCGCACCAGGGGCCAAGGCAGCGAGGAGGTCGTGTTTGAGGGCAGCTTCAGGGGCTGGGCAAGCGAGGGCCTGCACGAGGAGGCTGTTCTTCTGAGGATAGAGGAGGAGCCAGAGGTGTGTTCCCAGGCCTGACACCATGGGCGCCTCGATTGGACGGCTACGTGATGCGTGAGGCGGGTGGGCAGTGAACCGCGTGGCGACACAGTGCGCTTGCCTGGCCAGCGGGCAGACTCGTGACGAGCGCGCTCCCCCCAGCGCGTTTGGGGGGGGGGGGGCACGATTGCGTTCTGCGGCAGCGGCCGTAAGAAGTACTGGGGTCCTCGATGCCGCCAATGTTATAATCACCGCGTGGCAGTTGTTTGCACGCCCCCAGCTCTCGTCAAGCGTGGGAGTTCGGGCGTGGCTGGGACGGGCTGGGGGGCGCCCGTGATAGTTGTCGAGTCTCTCTCTCTCTCTCTCTCTCGTTGTTTTTTTTTGATGTTCTCTCTCTCTCTCTCTTTCTCTCTCTCTCTCTCTCTCTCCATCTCTCTATTCCTCTCTCTTTCCTGTTTTTCCGTCTCTCTCTCTCTCTCTCTATCTCTCTTTCTCTCTCCGCGGCCCACTCGGGGCTCAAATTCTCTTTGGGGCCTTACCCTCCCAGCCCTCCCAGGCCACAGAACCCAAACAGTCGCCCCCTGGCACTGAGCCGTGTGGCGACACAGTGCGCCTGCTCGACCAGCGGGCAGACTCCTGACGAGCGCGCTCCCCCCGGCGCATCGGGGGGGAGCGCTCGCGTTCTGCGGCAGCAGCCACAAACAGTATTGAGGTCATCGTTGCCGTCAATATGATCGTCATCTCTTGGCGGTTGTCTCCACGTCCCCCGCTCTCTTCAAACATGAGGAAAGTGCGCCCAGAGGAAGACGAGTCCTGGACCCTGGTGGCTTTCCCCAGGGCCAGCCTTTCATCCCTAGTAGGTGTTCGACGGTCCCGGGGCCCGGCGAAAGACCCAAGGGGGGAAGCGGAGGGGGAGGAGGAAGGGGGGGATTTAGGAAAATGAAATGGAGGCGGTAGCTAGGCAAGAGGAGGAGGAGGAGGAGGAGGAGGAGGAGGAAGAGGAGGAGGAGGAGGAGGGAGGAGGAGGAGCGAGGCCTGCTCTCCCGAAATCGGCGAACAAAAGCTCAGGACCCGCTGCCCTCTGGGACCCGCCCGCCGCGTGGCG